GTAGTGGGCTCCTCGGGCACCCAGACTTCTGGTGGTCCAGCCTCTGCTACTTGTCCTTGTTACTTATGTAAATGATCAGATTTCTCTTTTGCACTTGCTACCAGAAATCTCAGTTTTAAGGTTTTGACACTTTGAAACAACATTTAAGACTTTAGAGTCTTTGTTTTGGAATTAGTCAGATTTTTGGCATTTAATATCCTTTGTTCTGTTTTCTTCTTATGTCTCTATCCATTTCTAATTTATGTTTTATTGTGGTGTTTTATGTATCCTTATAAATCTCTCATAGATGTGTAAAGGCTCCAAGTCATTTTTGGAGGTGGGAGACCAGGCAAGTCAGGTCTAGGTGTACACGCAGATACTCCAGAACACGACACTCCCAGGCTGACCCAGAGTGCGGGTGCTGGCCGCACTCTTGGTCACAGAGGCCTGTCTCACTCTAGACTCTGGCCACACAGACCCCTGGCAGTCTGAGCTCTGCCATGTGTGGTCCTCTCCTAACAAGAAGGGGCCTGGCTCCCGGCCTTCTTCCTGAGCTGCTGGCCTCACCACACTACTCTTGGCCTCTTGACTGGCCTGGTCTCTGTGGTTCCTGACCCCTGCCTTGTCTTCCTTCTGTGTTGATGCTTATTACTGCTCCTGAGAAACTGGCTCGGCTCCCTCCTCAGCTAAGACCTTGACCTTGTACTCTGGATGCAGTCTGATGCCAGTTGCCATAGGCAACGACACTTAGCCATCCAGGCTGGCCCACTGGTTTTTCTCTGGCCTAGTCCTGGTGGCTGACCTCCAGCCCTGAGGACTGGCTCTGGACAGCTCAAGTCAGGAGCAGGGCTGGGAGCTAGTCATATAGCAGGGGTGGGGCTAAGCTCTAATAGGGGAAGCACAGTGGTGATAAAACAGGTGTAGTATTGTGTCATCATTTAATCTCTGGAGATACACATTTACTCCAAGAGGGTAATCTGAGCACCATTTGACCAATGCGGAAATAGAGTTTCAAGGAAATGTGATTTGCCCAAGGTTATAAGGTCAAAGGACGAGAGAGCTTTTGCCTTAACTTTGTGCTGGGTGCCCTCTGTTCCAACTCCATCCCAGGAGATGGACAGGGGAGTTTCTAGGCACTTCTGGAAGAGAGGGTCATTGAGGGCTGCAATCTTCTGGGAACCCCATGCCCAGAGAGTGTCACCAATTCAGTGTCATCAAGAGGCATATGGATTGCTTGGTTCCTTCCTTCTGCTCTGCAAGGCATCATTGGTGAGGGAGAGTCAGTCTGCATGCTCTGATTATCTGCCTGCTGTATGCAGAAGAGGGGAAATGAGAAAAGGTACTGAGTTTGGGGCAATGTACTTCCTGCCTCAGGGAGGGTTGTTTTCAGGATCTCTATCTGCATTCAGAGCCTGGCCCTCTGATGTAGTGACTCTGCCATATGCTTTTCCTAGAGTTGAGCCCTCTGTCCATCCCATGAGGCCGTAATGTTCAGAGCAAGTCACTTTGGAGGTGGTGGTAGCAGTGGAAATACAAGAACCCCCACCCTAGCCTGAGTATCAAGACAGCTGCTGTTGGTCCCTCTCTAAGTGACCTCAAACATATCCCCTAAGTCCTGGGGCCAGAGTTTTCTCATCTGTTAAATGGGACCCCAAATCCTGGCGCATCTTCCTCTTGGTGGTGTTGTGATAACCAGCATCTATTTGTTCTAAAACGTTTCCCCATCTCTCATCTGAAATGCTGTGCAGAATCGATTCCCCAGGAGACCTCCGCGTACCTCCTCCCGCTGCCTCTCCTTGCTGAAAGCAACAAAATCCCTCCAAAAAACAAAAGACATCAGTGCATCAGAATTCATGGGGTGGATGACAGCGTTTGAATTGGAAATCACCGAGGTGGTCTGGTTTCTATTCGTTATCAGAGCTTTATTCATGCAACAGGAATCTGCTAAGGTTTGGTGCAGTTCTCCAAATATTTATCGAGTGCCTTCTCCTTGTTCAGCCACGTGCTGGATCTGGAGATGTGATCAACCATTCTGTCAGGGGGAAAGCCTTGACCTCCAAGTCCTGGCTCTACTCCTTGCCACCTGGGTGACCTTGGGCAAGTCACCTCCCTTCTCTGTGCTTCAATTTTCATGATAAGAAAATGTGAAGATTTTTTTTGATTAACAGCCACTGAAATACCATGTGTAGTTATTGTTTTATTAGGAACAATAAGAAGACATGGCCCTGCTCATGGGGCAGTCATGGTTCAGTAAGCGAATAGCTAAGATCCTGGGAGCTGGAGGTGGGGAGGGCAGCACTCAGGAGAAGCTGTGGCTCGGGAGCAGGGGATATCCTTGAATAGGTAATGACTTCCTAGCATAGCGATGACCCTGCCCAGCCCTTCAGAAGGAAGGTGCATGTGGAATTTGGAGAAGCCCCTGCTAGGTTTTGGGGGATGTGTATCTCATCTGTACTAGCCCTCTTACTCAGCTACTGCCTCAAATTCTCCTGTTTTTGGTATTTTGGGGTGGGGTTCAGGAGGCAAAGGGCTGCAGTGGCAATGGTTTGGTTCTCTGGAGGGTTTATGATGAGGTGGCTGCAGAAGCGAGGTGAGGGGAAAATTCTGAGGAGGAGGGCAAGGCTGGGGTAGCTTGAGAGCAGCCCTCACACTCACCTCCCATTTTCCATGTCCACTGCTGAGCCTCCACTGGCTCAGGAGTTTGAACAGGACAGGGAGGCAGCGTGGTTCTGAGTTTCAGTGGTGATCAGAAAAGAGGGGTGTCTGGTTCTCAGGCTGCATGGGCAAGATTGGATTGGGCGAGGGGTGGGGAAGGCAGGTGGGAGATGCAAAAGATACTCAGGCAGTTGGGACAATTGAGCAGGTCAGAGGGACTAACCTTTTGATGTAGGAAAGGGTCTTTAGATCTGCCAGGCTGGATGCAGTACCCATCAGGTCCCTGGTCCTAAAGCCATTGCCTTCTATGTTCCCTAGTTCCTCCCTTGCCCCTTCATCTTCAGTAACCACCCATTTCTACCCTGTCACGTGCTCTGTGAGTGTGGTCCCTATGGATGGAAGCATAGAATACACTCATTCACTGGCTCCTGGCTGAGTTCAGCCAGTGTGAGGTGTTACACTTAATAATTCTGCACAACTCATTATACCGTAGCCTGAAACAACCAGTGTTTGAATTTGCCTACAGATGCCATGGGTCACAAATTTGGAAGGTGCATTGTGGGAATGGCTTGCCTCTATTCCACAGCATCTGGGATCTCAGGCTGGGGATGGACCCATCTGAAGTCTCCCTCACTCACATGTGTTACAATGGATGCGCTGTGCTGGGAGCTCAGTTGTGATAGCTTGGAGTCACCTGTATGTGGCCTCTCCACATGGCTTCTTGGGCTTCCTCCCAGCATGGTGGCCACCTTCCAAGAGAGCATCCCAGAGAGGTTAGGTGGCCTCTTTTTTTAATGATCTAACATTTAAAATCACAGTGTCACTTCTGCTGTAATCACAACTATATCCAGATTCAAGAAGTTGAAGCAGTAGAAAAAGACTTTGTAGAAGGGGAGATATTGAAGCAGCCATTTGAAAAATGTGATCTGCCCCAGGATTGACTGGCTGGAGGTCAGTAATTGCTGGCTTGTGGTCATGGCTGCTCTGATCCTGCTGGGATTCAGAAATCATTCCCTGCCCTTTCATTGTTAGCCCTCAGGGTGCTAGCAGATCCCTCTGTTGCAAACCCTGGGGGTGATTACCAGCCCTTTCTGGTGTCTTTTAACCCTGCCCATACATTTTTTTTAAAAAAAGTCCTTTCATCATATATTCTGTCACCTTCTTAAGTGCCAGGACTGTCATGATATACCAAATGTATAGAAAGCATCTGGGCTCAGAGTGCCCCAAGCCCCCAGGGAATGCCTACAGGAGGCAGGGTTAGAACTTTGCTCTCCCAGCTCCGTATCCTGTGCCCTTTCCCAAGGAGCTGCTCATGCTGCTCATGCTTTGTGGTCAGGAGGAAGCCATCAGCCCTGCAGACCCCAACTGAGTCCAGGAGCCAGTCCTCCTGAAGCCTTCAAGCACCTGCTCTGCTGGCTGGACCCAGTTGCTGGCCAGATGTGACTTCATGAACTGCATCTGCAGGCTGGGGGGACTCCTGGAAGCCCACCAGGCCCTCACCATGCTTGGGTCCACTAACTGAGGGATGGACAGCAAAGTGGGGTAGGTGATACAGACTCCCACAGGTGCACATGTACCTGGGCCACTAGGTCTAAGAACGCTACTGCTTCCCAGACAAGCACTTAGACTGGGGAGGTGAAGTGACTAGCCCAGGGCTCCAGAGCGCAGAGTTCCCAGCTTTGCATCCATCCCGCCTACACCAGGGCAGCCCCTTGCAGGCTTTAAAGGGCTCTCCCTTCTCACTTGATGAAGAATTATGGTGATGATGATGGTGGTAATGATGATGGTGGTGATGATGGTGATGATGTTGATGGTGACAGTGAAGAAGGGTGGTGACGATAGTGATGATGATGACGGTGATGATGATAGTGACGGTGATGGTGATACTGGTGGTGATAGTGAGGGATGGTGGTGCTGATGGCAGTGATAGTGATGGAGAGAGCAACAAAGCACTTGAAATGCTTGATCTCACTTTTTCTTCTTAAGAGTACACAGAAATGCGGGAGGGTCTCTCTCAGGGCTGCAAGTTTAGGGGGTGTCAGGGATAAGCACCTCTCTAATGTGCCAGGGGCCTTTGCTTGCTCAGCCACTGTCCTCAATATCCCTGTGATGTAGCTCGTGTCTTAGACGATGACAAAAGCCTTAGAGGTGAAGTGACCTGTTCCAGGTGACATGATTAGTGACAGGCAGAGCCAGGATTGGAACCCAGCTTTATTCGACTCTTCAACTCCAGTGCTGGCTCTGTTCTTTTTACCCTCCATCCGCAGGGGCTTGAGCGGATCAGGCGGCTTGGCTTGCCAGAGGTGCAGTGAAGCAGGGGCAGCCGGCGGCACAGGTATTTGGGGGACGCTGTTGATGGAGTCAATGAGAAAGTGCCTCCTGGGGATGAGGAGTGGAGTGGCAAGCCTCAGGTGAGCAGAGCCACTCACCTGGATGTTCCCTTTTCCCCTTTTCTAGGGGGGAAAAACAAATAGAACATCTGACAGCAAAGCCAGGCTGTGCGATATTTCTATTCCCAGATCAAATCACAGCGCAGGGAATGCGTTATCATCAACGTGATTACCTTGGGGGACAGAGACAGAGAGTTTTATTAAATGAGACAATCTTGCTAAAAGGAAGCCTTACATTAGACTTTGGGCCTTAAATAACATTAGTGTCAGGAGCTGACAAACACTCGGCACGCGGTGTCTGAAAGCTCGGAAGCCAGCGCCTCAGTGGGGTCGCTGGGGCTGGTGCGTCCAGTGTGGAGACCGGTGAGGCAGCCCTCCACCCTGTGGCCGCCACACCCGGCCAGTGGCTCTTTGTCACCACACAGAGCAGTTCAGGCCCAGCTATTCTCTCATGCCAGCAGGGACTACCTTCTTGGTGACACTGGGGGCTGGGAATACTCTGTGGCACTAAAGGAGAGAGACTTGCACTTCTTACTTGGGGAACAGAGATCCTGAGACTCTACAGGCCCCCAGTGGAGGCAAAGGTTTGGTTTCCACATGGGATTCACACTCCCCTCCATGATGAGGGGCCTCTGTTGTCCTGGGGCTCTGCAGTGATAGTAGAGCCTGTGTCCCTCAGCGGGCTAGGGTGTGTACTTTGGGGATAGAAGGTCCAGGACGTTTGAGTTCAGGTCCTGCTTCACCACACTTGTGACCTTGAGCCTGTTACTTAATGTCTTCGGATGTCCATTTCCTTGCCTATAAAATGGGTTAACAGGTACTGACTTCATAGGGACTGAATGAGTTGGTCCAGAAAGCTCCTAGTTCAGAGCCTGGCACACAAGGAGTGTCTGTCATGTTCTCTTTACTCTGTCTTGGCTCTTGTCCCTGCCCTGTGTCCCCTGCCCCTAATGTATCACTGGTATGGTTTGAATATTGAATGGATCTCAAAACGATTTGTGTTAAAGGTTTGGCCCCAGATTCTGGTGCTACTGGGAGGTGGTGGGGCTTGGTAGAAGGAGGTTAGGTCGCTGGGGGCATAGTGTTTGAAGAGGACATTGGAAGCCTGGCTGCTACTTTTTCTTTCTCTTTCCTTCAGGCTCTGGTGAAGTGAGCTGTTTGCTGCACCTTGAGCTTGCCACGATGATGTGCCACCTTGTCACGGGCCCAAAGCAACTGGGCCAACTGACCATGGATTGGAACTTCTGAAATAAACCTTTCTTCCTTATAAGTTGTCACAGGTACTTGTTATAGTAACAGAAAGCTGACTAATACAATTTCATACCTACTTCCCAGAGAAAGATTTCTGGTTGCTGGAGGGTGAATTTCTCCAGAACTTTGTGTGAAAAAGCATTTCACAGAGATCTTATTTCATCCATATTATAGATCTAGGGGCTCCCAGAGGTCATCCCATTATAGATGGGAGGTCTGAGACTTCAAACAGGGCCAGCACACCTTGAGTTAAAGCCCTATGTCTCCTATTTTTCTCCACCCTGGAATAATTCACTGAGGGATGTTAAAGATAATAATTCTCATTTAGTGACGACTTACACGTAATGGACCTGGGGCTGTCTTATGTGGTGGATGACCCTATATAACCAGTGAGATGGTATTTCCAGTAATAGAGGGGTAAACTGAGGCTCAGAATGGTTAATTGGTCCAACTTGTCCACCAATAGGAGGTAGAGCCGGGACTGGAAGCTCCACCCACCTGTCTCAGGCCTGGTTCAGCAGACAGTAGCTCCTGACGCCTCAAAGCAGAGGACTCCTGATCACAAGGCCAACACTTTTTGAGCTCCATTCTCTCTGTTTACCTTGAAGAATTGGATTAACCTCTCTGAGCCTTAGTTACCTCACTTATAAAGCAGAGGTGATAATCCACTGGATAGTTCCAGTGCTGATCATTGGGCAGCCCATAATCCTGGAGCCTCTCAGGAATGCTAGGGGTCATCTGACCCAGCCCCTACTTGACACTCAGAGGGGTCAAGAACCTTGCAAGTGGCTGGACCAGGAGAACTAGAGGAGAGATTCAGTCCATGAGTCCAGGTGTCACTGTGCAATCCTAAACCTCAGTTCTCTCCTTGGAAGGGCTTGCATTGCCCAACACTGGCTTACTCTGCTCCTCTGTGGCCCTGTCACCTTCTCTCCACCAGGTGCAGGTCACTCCTGAACTGCCTCCACCACCCCTGCCAGAGCACCTGGGGCAGGGCTGGGCTGTAGGGAGCTCTGGGCTCTGCCGTTGACCAGGCGTCTGCATCCTTCCTTCTGCCTCTCAGCCTCAGAAGGGACCGTGATCTTCTCTAGTAGAAGCTGGACATGTTTATCTTTCTCAAACTAGATTCTGTGCCAATCTCCTGCTGTAGTGGATGCTTCTAGACATGGCACAAAACATCATCAAATGAGTTTGGGAAAGGCTGGGTTAAACAAAGCTGCCAGCTCTCATTTCCTAACTCATCTTCTGTGAACTAATTGGAGTGCAAAGGAGTATGGAGTCATATAAAGCAAATATCAGCTGTCACCACCCTCCATCATTCTCACCTTGCGGAGCAAGCTACGTGTCCTTGCACAACTCTCCTCATGCTTACAAATGCACATGCAAGCACCTACATGCAAACACACACATGTGCACACAGGGTATTTAAGAATGTGTCCTGTTTTCTCCTGGGGCCTCATCTGAGCCTTTCATACTGACCAGCTTTGCTATGTTGCTCTCCCCAATACTGGGCCTTTTTCATTCCCTCAGCACACCTTGGGGAAGCCTCTGGCTAGGGCCAGACTAGACGGCCTCACACATGGCTTTTGGTGACTCTTGGGTCAGCTTGGGCAGCTCCACATGGTGGGTGGATGCTGAGCAGCTTAAAATAGATAACATTCCTGAGAATGACATTCAGGAACTAAATTGCCTATTGCCCTGGGGGCTGGCTCAGTCTGAAATGCACCTGGGTGGGCAAGTGCCATGGGGTCTCACCTCTTCCCTGACCATGCCACGGACAGCCATGGTCTGTAGAGAGCTAGCAGATTATATAACAGGGGAAGCATGTGGCTTGGCACCTGTCCAGGGAGGCTTGATAGGTCCCCACAGCCCTGAGGCCTCTCCCAACTCTGGTCCTTTCTGGTCCTGGGTTTGATGGACAGTTGGCCTGGCTGCTCCACTCAGAACTTGTCTGTGCCACAGGTGGCTTTCTGCTCTACTCATCCCTTTCATCCTGAGGCCCAGACAGTCAGGGACATGTTGGGAGATACAGCAGAGGTGGCCCACACTCTAGGTTCTCACGGCCCTGCCTGGCCTCCACCACGTGACTTCAGGTGGGCCACCACACTTTCTGGGGAGATAGACCTCAGTGCCAGAAGACCTTGGATTGAGTCCTGGGTCTGCCACCCCAATACTGTCAGAGCCTAGGACACTCTTACCTTCCTAAGTCTGTATTTTCCAAATTCGTTGGCACTTGGTCCTTGTTCTTGTCTGGGTCAGAAGCCCCTTTGAGGAGGCTGGTCCTGGTCCTCAGAGCTGTGTAGAAATGCTCGTGTGACCGTGATGGGTAGAGATGAGCAACGAAGACTGGCAGCAGTGACCCTCTGGTGTCATGGTTCATATTTTGAGCACTTCCTGGACATAAAGTCGTGCATCAGGTTTGAAAGGGGAGTGGTGGGGACACAGAAGATGGAGACAAATAAACTGATGCCCTCTGGGAGCATTGTTCCTGGAGGAAGGACCAGGACACTAAGGTGGCCACAAGACCAGGTGAATGTCTGAAAAGGTGGGAGCTGGGGAGACTGATGGACTGAACTCTGGACCCAGAATGGCCAGGGAGGCTCCCTGAGGATAGTTGGGAAGGGGAATGAGGAGAGGGCATTCTGGGGGTGGAGGTGGCGTGGGCAGGTATTAGAGCCAGCTGCACATTTGTGTTGAGAGGTGGCTTGGGGATCTTGGTGAGGGGCTGTGGTTGACCTTTGCCTCCACTGTCAGCACAGCTCTGATGCAAGCACCAGAGAGCAGCAGCCACCACTTCCACTCTGGAGAGCGAGGGGATGCTGGCTTCTGTCCTCATGACTTCCACTGGCCAGAGCAGGCCAAGGGATAAACAGCCCTCACGGTTAATGACCATCCACGCTGCCATTTTATGACTTTGCAGCTGAATGCTCCCCGAGGGAGAGTCCACATTATGGATTCCAACTTAATGATCTGGGGTAATGATTTAAATGGTGGGGTCTCAGTTGGCTGGAGGATGGGAGCAAAAGCCACTGGGAGGACAATGGGACCCCCCCCCCAGGAGCAAGGCCCAGGGTTCCTCCAAGGATAGGACTGACCTGAGCAGAGCCATGGGCCAGATGGAACTGGCTGCTTTTTGTGCCACTCTCCCAGGTTTATGTACCCAAAGTGCACTCACTGTCTATCACTGGCTGCTCTCGGTCCTACCTTCCCAGGGCCAGGCAGGGTGGGACATTTTAGAGTGGGAGATTCTAAGAGATGCTCCATCTGTCCGTTGCCTTAGGTCACTCATCTGGCCTCTCACCTATTTGCTTTTTTTTTTCTTTTTTAATGGTGGCACTGGGGATTACACCCAGGATGCTCTATCTCTGAGCTACATCACCAACCCCACACCCCTGCCCCGCAACCCTGCCTTCTTTTTTTTGTTTTTTTAAACTTGAGACAAGGCCTTGCTAAGTTGCTGAGGCTGGCCTTGAACTTGTGATCCTCCTGCATGAGCCTCCCAAGGATTCACTGGGCTTACAGGCAGGTGCCATGATGGCCAGCTTCCTGCTTGCTCTAGCTCAAGCCACCCTGCTCCACAGGAGCACCCCCTCACTTTCTCCATACACATCTCCCTGCCCATGTCCTGCCTGTTGATTAGCTCACCTCTTCCAAGAAGGCCTCACACACTAAGGGCTTCCTCTCCCGTCTGTCAATCTCTCCAGGATCAGGGACATTCCTGAGTCTGCCTTGGTCCCTAACCAGGCTGGGAGCCTGGGCTGAAGCAGCGGGGAACATTTCTGGACCTCCCAAAGCCCAGTGTGCTGTGGGTATGTGGAGACCCCTGTGGTGTGCTCTGCATGTAGCTTTTCCTGGTAGATAATGTACCCTCGGTAGACAAGTGCCGAGGGTGGCCACCCTCACTAGCCCCCTCTTTGCAGAGGCCTAAGTGCGGGGCTCTGGAGACTGACTGTCTGGGTTCAAAACTACCTCTGTGGCTTATAAGTCTGTAACAGGCAAATGTCTTGAGCTCTTTTGCCTCAGTTCCGCCTGGTGTGGATGGCGATGGCAGTGGCTACTGGGCGTTAACATGTGGAAAGTTCTCACTGGGGTGTCAGCACCCAGAGGGAGCTCCCAGTTCACTAGTGCATCTTGGCACATCTGGGTGAACCCTGGGTGTTGTATGTGCATGACCCATTAAGAGGCAGCAGAGTGGACCAGCCAAGGGTTTTGAGTACAAGCTGGTTGCACACATTTGACTCCTGGCAGCTTGCAATAGGACCTGGGAACATTTCCTCTGTCTGTGAAAGGCTGATCCTAACAATAGCAGCCACTTCCTGGGGTTACTACTACTTTGACTGAGTTAATGTAAGTGAGGTAGGTAGTGAAGGACCAGTACGTTGCAAGCTCTCCATGAATGTAGGGTATTGTCAAATCCATTTGACAGTTGGGAAACAGAGTCATATAGAGGGGAAATGACTTCTGAAAGTAAATCATTTAAATCTAGCTCCATCTGAACGCGAAGCCAAGGCATTTTCCTCTCTAGCTCCCCCCTACCACCCTGGACAGGGGTCAGTTTCAGAGTTTCTCAGATCCCCAAACCTCTCTTACCCATTTCTCACCACTGGAAAAACCTGGCCACCCTCTCCCCGATCCAGCACTTATTAGTTAATTGAACCTTCATGAATTGAAGTCTGGAGGGCACCCTGTCCTCCAGGAAGCAGAGTCAGCCAAGGCCACTGGCTGACCTTGGTGGGTGTGATGGGTCCCTGAGTAATCAATTCCCTTTATGGCCAAGGCCACCAATTTTCTCCCTCTTAGATTCGCTCTCCTGAATCCTGTGCGTCCACTCAGCACCTGGTCAGGAAGCTGGGCCAACTTCCCTCCCATCTGATTTTATTCTGCTGCTGTCTGGCTGCCCAGTCACGTGGAGAGTTTGTCAAGAGCAGCGCGGTCTCTGCTGCTGCCCTGTCCTTTGTGGAGTGCTGAGTGGGCAAGCAGGGTCTGTCGGCTCCGTGTGGGGACGTTGCTTGCCTGTGAGAATAGCCCGCAGACCCCATGGTGGGAGCAAGCCATTCTTCTCCAACATAGGCTGCCGGGTGGGCAAGGCCACCTCTCAGGCTCAGGTGTGGGTGTGGCCTAGAATGGCCCTGAGGTTCTGCTGAAGAGCAAGTCCTTTGGGGTGAGGTCAGCTCACACTAAACTCTCATTGCCACCATGGCTGATAACTGACAGGCTGCACTTCACCATGAGGAGGTGCCAAGTGCAAATCTGTTACAATCTGCCCATATATTCTTGATCATTCCTGTACTTGAGAGTGGGCCAGACTTAGTGACTTGCCATCTTCCCTCCTCCAGGACAGAGGGTGACCCTGGTCATCATAGAAATAATGACAATCCTTGCTTCTACTCATTGAGCACCTCATAGAGGCCAGGTACTGGGCAAAGCTGTTACCTGTAGCCCTGAAGCAGCTCACTTGAGTCTCAAACCTGCCAGTGGGGTAGCTAGTCCTAACATCCCCTTCTCAAAGAAAGGAAAACAGGCCCAGAGGGAAAGAGCAAAGCAGTCACGGTATCCACTAGTAGGTCCAAAGACTGGCTTGGACCTCCATGATTTGTCCTGGGAGTCTGGGTCTTGGCCACTCCGCTGCCCTGTAATAGGATGCTCCTTGCAGGTGACTGTAAGAGAGGACCAGGGGGCCAGGAGGGCACAGTGGACTCTGGAGCTCTGAACCTGTCCCTGGGAGGCAGGAGAAGAGGTCTTGGAGGCCTGAGAGGCTGGCATCCTTCTTGCAGCACACTCCACTCTTCACGGTGGGTTAGGCAGTTATGGGGTCGTCGAGGAGTTTGTGACACAGGGACTCTGGAAGCTGACCTGGAGTCCTTGGCTAAGCTGCACACAGTAGACATCTTGACAGAGTGTTTTGAAAACATGGTTGAAGCAGGGCTGTGGTGTTCACGGAGTTTTCACAGCTGTCTCAGGAATTCTCCCCTCCCTTGGGTGTGCCAGGCAGGGGACACCCCTCACCCCCCAGGCCCCAGAGCAGATCCTGGAGGCCTGCTGGACCCTCTGCTCCCAGGTCCCCCTGTTCCACCAGTTGCTGGGAGTCCTGCCTCCTTGGTTCTTTCTGCTTCCCCCCTCCTTACCTGCCTCCCGCCTCCTGCTGGCCACAGGCATGGCTTCCCACCTGCTTCCATCCACCCGGGTGCTCTTCCCTCTGACACTTCTTCACCTTGCACCTGAGGGTCTTCCTAGGGACCAGTAGAGATAATCCTCTTCCTTCGCCATTGGTTTCCACGGCCTCACGGACAAGTGCAAATCCCCAAGTGTGTCCTTGAGCCAGAAAAGTTCTCTGGGGGCAGTAGCAGTAATCAGAGAAGACTTTTTGGAGGAAGTGACAACTGGGCTAAAGGACGATGGAGAGTTTATGCCACATACCACACAGGAAAGGCACTCTGGGACAACAGTGGCTCAGGCCCTTCCTGAGGTGCCCCCCACCCTCCATCCCTGTGCCTGTGGGATTTCCGAAAGGAAGCAGAGCTGCGGGGCCATGCTTCCGGTCCTCAGTGTGGACTTTCTGGGAAATACCACGGGAGGGCAGGAGGTGGGCGGTCATCCACACAGGAAGGGGGTGCACGGGACTGGATTTGCTGAGCCCAGATAAATGGCCCCAGGAACGCCCTAGAGAGGAAGTCCCTGAGCTTGGAGGCCTCCTGTGCGGGGGTGATAGCACTTGTTTGGGAGAACACAGGTATTGACCGAAGCCACCACACAGGCTGGAGATAAAAGAAAGGGCTGGCAGAAGGTTGGCTCTCAGGAGCAAGGCAGCACCAAGCAGGGCCAGAAGAGCCATTGCAGCTCTCCCTCAATGGGCAAATGGAGATGCCCCATGGGGGCTTGGGGCAGATACAGGGGGATGGGTCTATGCTCTGCTTTAACACCACCTCCCTGAACTCAGGACTCACCCTTCAACTGCAAAGGCAGGGCTCACCAGGGGTCAACGAGATGCAGTAATGGACTTAGGAGGAATCCAGAGATTAATACTGTCATGTCCAAGGAGCTGGAACACCCAAGCTCAAGATGAACCAATTCCTTTTCAGCGCTGTCTCAAACACAGCCCTCAACTTGAGAAGTGCCAGGAGCCTGAGAGGGAATTGGATTTGGCATTGATAAAGATGATTCTATGCCCTCCAACAGCTTGTTGCTACTGATATGAGATGTTGGATCACTAGGGACCTCAGTCTCCCCATCTGTGAAATGGGAACCTTAGGAATAACCTTTCTGCTGCCTATGACAGTGGTATAAACACATGGGATACATGGAGGTAGAGCTGTATGGGGTTTGGACAGCTGAGAGCCAACCACCGTCATGGGCAGGAAGATTGGCAGAGCTGGATTAGAAAAACCCCGGTGGAATGTTGTCCAACAGGAGCCGTTCTGGAGCTGGGGGAGCATACAGCTTCCTGGAGGAGGTGACTTCCAAGCTGAGACCTGAAGGAGGAAAGGAAGAAGGTGCAGGTGGTAAGGGAGGATCTAAGGACAGTCACGAACCTTAGGAGGAATCCCAGATATGAGTACTGTCATCAAAGAGTGCAAAGGCGGAGGACCTGTCCCCACCGGATTTCCCTCTCGTTTATGCAGTTGCCAAATGGAACACAGATGGTCCCTAAGTGCCACTCTTCCAAGAAGCCATTGTGGATTGTTAGTGACATAAACCTTTATTTTACTGTTATAACCTCCTGGGGGCACTGTGACTCCCAACAAGGGCCCCACCATGGACACATTTGTGGACCCTCACTGCCTTTAGCTCAGGGACACCTAGGGCTTCCCCGTCCTGGTCAAGCGCAGTGCAGCCTCCTGGACCTATGTTTGGAGTGACAGGTTCAGAATGCCAAGCAAAGGCAGAACTGAGCCATGGGGGTCATGGTCAGAGTTGCCATCCTGAGCAAATGGTTGGCAGTTGTTCATGGTGGCCTGGTTGTGGGTTCTGGTCCTTTCTAGTATCCCTGCCCCACTTTGGTAGCCTGGGAAGTAAGGGTCTCTGTAAGGGGCTTTTGAGGACTTAGTTCACTCTGGGAAAATTAGAATTTGCATGTGCAGACACTAGGTAATGGAGACCCTCATTACTCGTCATAGCATTAATTTCAGGAGATAGCCCTGGCGCACATTAGGAGGCTATTTTAAAATCGCATGAACGAGATGCCTTTATTAGCCATCGGAGGTCAGGGAGGTAATGAAATACCAGAGGGAAAAGGGAGCAATCGCACATCACCTGAGACCTGCTCATTTCCCCTGTGTTTCTGGGGTGTGAGCTCATCTGTCAGGTGCTGCCACAGTCTGATGACGTTTGGGAGCATTCTAGAACAGGGGTGGGCAGGCAGAGTCAGCATGCCCATCTGATTTGGTGCCTCTTGGGCCTGACCAGTGTGCATGGGTGTGTAGGAATATGGCCCTTAGCTGTGCATGGAAGCTCATCGGTACGTGCACACCTGCGTGTTCATGTGTGTAAAGAGCTAGGGGGTTACCTGTGCAAAGAGCTTTCTATCTGAACTGTAGTAAAATGGAAGGGGTGGCCTGTGAGCACTGAGATGACAGGATTCCCTGTCATTGCATGAATTTCAGAAGATAATTTCTTTGAGACCCTGGCAACTGGCCTCTTTGGAGGGACACTGAAAGTGGTGGAGGGACTCTCGGCTTCAAGACCTCAGCATTCTTGAATTCTGTTCTGGGGTTCAGGGAACCAGCTTCTACTCATGGATCTAGCATTGCCCAATCCTCTCCTCTATGTCTTTTCCTCTTGCTTGGGGGCTTCTAGGATGTTTCCTGGGAAACCATGGTGCAGGACTTATGTAGGGCTGGCAGGGCCTCCACACATCTTGGGTTCTGCAGGCTAGCTTTGGGGTCTTTCGTTTCCCAACATTGGACAATCAGACTTGGGGGTGGGGCTCTGCTCTGCCTCCCCCACATCTGTTGCCTTAGGTGTCGATGCTTTGAAAAATATCCATTGTGCCCTTTAAGGTCCCCCTACAACTCCAGCTGGGTTGATTTCCTCTTGGCTCTTAGGAGAGACATCAGGGCTGTGAGGATCACAGCTTCTCTGAAAAAACAGGTATGGGAATTGCCCTCTGCCCTCATAGGGTGTGGAACAACTTGGAAAGACCTGGTGTAGGGCTCGCTCAGCAGTTGTGGGGGAGGAAACTGTACTCTGGTGTGCACTCTGATGACTCCAGAGTTCCTCTGGCCACCTGGACCTGTGTGGCCCCCTTGCTCACCCTGGCATTTAGACACAGGATGCTGCAGTCTACCATGGACTTTCTCCTCCACTTGCTCAGGAATGCTCAGGAGACCTGGTGAGGCAGAGAAGAAATGCGCAGAGAGTGAGGGACGGAGCAGGGTCTGGCCTACAGTCCCTGTGTGCCTCTAGGGAAAATGACTCCTCTGTGACCTCTAGCTCTGCCTCTGCCGCAGTCTGTGGATTCTCCCCTGGAAGACGCTAATGGTTGCTGAAGAGGACAGAAGCGAGGTAGTGGCAGGGAGCGGCAGAGGGTCAGCCTTTTTGGAAGGGCTCCGTCACATGGACCTGGGAGGGATTTGGCTGTGGGACACTTGGTTTTTCTGGGCCTTCCTTTCTTCGCCTGCAGAATCTTGTCAGGAGGAAACAAGGAAGGCCAGAGTGCCTCTGAGGGCTCTCCCATCCAGTGGTTCTTGCTGCTCTCCATCCTGGACACTGAGTGGGTTGGAATAGAACTTGGATCTCTGCCAGGGAAGTGGGTGGGAGAATTCTGGCTACACCCTCCTCCTGCCCCCTACTCTGTCACCTTGAATTCTATTGTTTAGACCCCATGGCAAATGCTGATGGTATCATATTGATCAGAGAGGCCAAGGGCAGAGGAGTCCAGGGCCAGGGTGGACAGTGTAGAGACAGAATTATAGCCCCAGCCCCTCCCAGAGTTCTTACAAGGCCTGAGTAGCCCAGTGCAGCCACTGGTCACCTTGGCTTTGAGTCTGTGTCCTATCTCCTTGTGGGATAAGGAATGACTCCCGAAGGCAGAGTGGGGTCTAGTTCATAACTTTTCCTCTATGGCCTGATGGATGCTTGAACTTTGGTGCTTGTTTGCTGAAGGAAGAACCAAAAATTTAGCAGTAAACAGGGCCTCAGGGACATGAAGGTCCTCTGGGTGGGAACCTGTGGTTTATTCATGCCCTCATCTTGTTGCTGAGGAAACTGAGGCCCAGAGGAGAAGTGCCTGGGGCAGGCAGAGGACTCAGTGGCTTAGAATAGTGCCAGCTGGGTTAGGGCCCAGGGTCAGGGAGCCTGGGCTGGGGAGGGCGTGAGAGTGGAGAGAAGATGGAGAGCAGGAGAGGCTGGGCCGAGCGATAAAGGCAAAGGAGAGGGCCCTGGGGTGGGGTACGTGTCCTCAAGTCAGAGAAGAAAGAGCATATGGCAGCCTAGAGGTGACAGTGTGCAGTATTGGGGACGCTAAGGAAGTTTATTAGGGTCCAGAATTGCCCAGGTCACAGAGTGAGGTCTGGATGGAACCAAGACCAGTGGCTCATCTGCCCAGCGCTCAATCCCATGTCCACCCTCCCCACATCCACCCTCCCCACATCCCAAAGGCTGGGATGCCAAGAGAGGCATGGACTGTGGCGAGGGCTCAGAGATGGCATCCCAAAGCTCCTAGGCCTTGCTGCCCTTTGAAGGCGAGATCCAGTCCCCTGGACTCAGCACACGGGTTGCAGGTGGCCTCTGCTTGCAGGCTTGCTCAGGGACACCCTGTGACCCACGGCTTTTGTTTTCACGGAGCAGCAGTGATGTGGGGAGGGGGGAGGCCTGAGCAGCCTCCACACATGGCGGCAAATTTGGGCCATCGATTTACATTTATTTCCTGCTCAAATGATCCAGGCTGGTTGCTGCTGAGGGTGGGGGCCGGGGGTGGGGGCTGCTCTTTAGCATTTTAAGTTTGCAGATAATTGGAGGAAAATAACTCCAATAATGAAATCGCTGCTGGATCGCATTCTGATACATGACAAATCAATTCATTTATGATACCTTTTTTGTCACACTGAGCCATTCTGGCGCTCAGTGGAAACCTCTTAAATTAATAAAACTGTTAAATCCATAAAATCCTCCGTTCTGAGTAGCACATCACAGCGCAACTTTGAATCATTAAAGGAATAAAACTGATAAATGTGAGCCGGGGAGTGTCTTTGTCTGCAAAGAGGGGCTGGCTTTTAGGACAATATGATATAATAGTCATAAGCTAGATATATCCTCCCTGGGCCGACCAGGGGGCGGG